ATCCTACTCGACTCTCTGAATAGAAATCATTCTCTCCTGTATTCGTGCTAGTTTATGGACTTGCTTTCTGCAACAGTCAAGCAGAAACAAAGACGCTTTATAGAACAGCTCAGTTTGACAAAAGCTGTAGAAATGCCTTCTGCAGATATGAAAACTTGAATCCTTCCAAGAGATTTTTCTTTGCCTTACAAAACGAATGCTGTTGTGAAAGGCAAAATAAAACAAAACAAAATAAAGCAGGGGGAAAAAGTCCAAGCATCTATTTGTGTATGCAGTCAGATGTGACAGCGACATACTGCATTACCAGCAGGGGCCTGGGCCTGGCCTCCTGCTCCACACAGGGTTTCATTTTCCTCCCGGGTAGTTCCCTAGATAACCCTCCTGTCAGGATTTGACTCCCTCCAAAAGCAGCCAGGGATGAAATGTCCAGATGCTGGAAGGCAAGGATCTGATAAAGCTCCCCTAGAACCTAGGCACACATTTCTACCTCTGGGCCTGTATACATGGACTTGAACACTTGAGCTTTGCAGTGTTATCATCATTCAGAGTATCTCACTCAGTAAGATACAGTACACAATTAAAGTTCCATCAGTATTGCCTTTGATCATGGGAATGCTGAACATAAAAAACATCATTCTGAATGAATAAGGGATATCATTTATAGTTGTCATTTTAAATAAGCTTCATCTCAGGGGGTTTATTCCAGCAGAGGCTGTATTTGCTGGGAGCGAGGGTTGCAAAGCAGGGGCTTCCCTCTCCGGTGGCACAACTGTAGTCATTTCAATGAACCTACAAATTAAAGTCCATGGCCCACCGATTTAGCCTTATCTCATCACTAGCTCTCATTCCTGTGACTCTAGAAAACATTTAAAAACTACAAGGCAAAAGCACAGGGGAAATATCTAGTTAAGTACCCACAAAGGTCACTGAATCAGCCCTCCGGTGTATAAATGCTAAGTTGCTACACAGTTCCTATACTAGGGTGACTCAGGCAATTTTCTGTCTCTAATTTCAAAGCAGGTACTTCTTCCCACTAGAGCATGGTGGGAGGAAAGGGGAGGACATGAGGAAGTTGCAGGATTCCTTATTCTGACTCTGCGCTGTTGCTACCACAAAAACGTAATGCCAACACCCTCATCACTCTCACTCCTTCTGCTGTCTCTCTGGGGAGGAAGTTGATGTCCTTCTTTAGATGCCTCTCAACTGCTCTTTCTAAGATTTCAGAAACAGCCACCACATTGGGCATTCCAGAGTCATGGGAGAGGGGTAGGGTGGTTTCCAAAGCAAAATGGTTGTGTTCCCTAAGAATTACAAGGACACAATACAAGGGACAGAAAGGGCTTAATCAATAAAGGCAGCTCAATCATAGATGCCAAAATAATTCGGAGATAATATCAGGAAATGTATTATAATTCGCCCTCCCTCCAGAGACATAGCATGTGAGGTCTGATGTGCTTCCGCCTGGCCCTCAGGCTAGGGTGTAACACAGACTCCACACAAAAAGGAAAATTGGGCCACTGTGATGGAAGAACATGTTCCTTGTCCCTCTGTCACTCTCTTCCAGGAATGCTGCACTTGGGTGGTGAGTAGTCATTCCGAGAAGAGGTTTGTCACAATCACAATGCAGGGACTTTGCAAGAGATGTCTCTGAGCAGAAATCTGGAGCTTACCTTGGGGATGTGTCAGGGTGAGAGGGAACAAGTTAATAACAAAAGATTATTCTGGTTTTCTTGCTGACTAAACAGCTAGTCAGCTTAACTAGTATAAAACAAAGATATGAATATGCTTTCCTTAGATTTAGATTCCTGTCTTAATTTCTGCAAGTTGTAGGCTTTCCTGGATAACTGTTTTATTCATGAGTGTTTCATCTCTAGTTTGGAGATGTGAGTATTCCTTTTGTGATGGTTTGCACCACCTAGATCTGACTGTTGTCAGGTAACATGAGATGAAATTTCCAAGCTTCAAAATGATCCTCTAAAACAAAATTTTGATAGCTCTCTTCACTGTCAAGTAGTATTGAAAACAGTAGTCCTATTTGGGTTTTGTAATAAAATGGTAATTCACATTAAAAAATGAACATAAGTGTAAGATAAAACCTTTTTTACTGTTGTCAGCTTTGTAATATCTACTCAGAATATCACTGTCATTCCCCTAAGCTATGCATATAATTTTTAAAGTTAGAGTTATAAATCCAAGGGAAAGAACTACCAAAACCCATCAATAAATAACTCTGATAACCAGATTTTTCTTTTCACATAGCTTGCCAAATGGAAACACATTTTAAGGTGTAGCATGTCCCTTATTCTCTCCAGACTCTTATGGACCAAACTTACACAATTGTAGCCAGAGCAGAACTCCAGCTACAGAGAGTTGTTCAGGGGAGAGTGTCTGTCCCTCCTCACTATGGTTGCTTAGTGAAATTCCACCTTTAGCAGTACCACATTTTAAGCTCAAGATATCCAAACCAGGTAGAGGGTGTATTTTCTTTGGAGGGCATTCACTTGAGTGTTAATGATGAATGTGGACAGTTTCATCCACAGAAAAGGATATGGGGGTGGAGGTGGGGGTTGCCAACCAAAGTTCTAGCTGCTCACATCTTTTGGAAACACAGCATGCTAGTGAACGTGGGAAAAAGCACTGAAAACTCTAAGGAGCTACAAAAAAACTTTCTTATTCTAATGTCAGAGGTTGAATTCTTTGATTAGCCTGGGGACATTCTGAATACAAGTGTGCTTTAGAATTTGGGGAAGTTTCAGGGAGTCTTTGTAAAGCAAGGAAAAGAAACGGGAAGACACTCAGTATTTAGTTTCAACCAGATTAAACAATTCACAAAGATAAAATGAGACATTTTAGTGGCTTAACAGTGAATGGCAAATGAAAAGTTCACTTTAGTCACTTAACAAAAAAGCTAGCCAAAAAGATCAATGAGAAGTATGTTTTGAGAAAGGTGGAATGGCACCTTTTTTCTTGTTTCTCCAGAAGAGATTTAAAATCAAAAGCTTCTCTTGCACTGAAAGAAAAGGAAAATAATGCAACCAGTCATGAAATCTCACTCAGAGACCACCTGAGTGTCCCTTGAAAGTGAAAGTGACTGGGGCCTCCCTGGTGGTACAGGGGTTAAAGTCTCAGGGCTATCGAGCTATCAGCAGCCACTGCAACCTAAGTTCAACTCATGGTCAGGGAGGTGACCCACATATGGCACAGCAGACCTCGCCCGTCTCGCCTGCTGCTCCCCTTAGCAGTGTATTTCAGTAGATCTGCCTGCTCCGCTCCCCACTCGGTCTCTGGTAAATCCTCTCACCTACCCACCACACTTCTGGCCTACACCCCAGTGCTTGGATGCATAAATAAATAAAAATAAATCTTTAAAAGCAAAGTGTAAAGAACCTACTACATATTGGCCATTGCTGTCGACTTAACAGGGCACCATGCATTCCTTCTTGGCGGTCCTGTCACTTGCCTTGTCGTCATGTATTTTCTTCTTTCACTTGAACTACCATTAACTGTCTCTCTATCTTTCCTGGGTTTCACAGAATATATAATCCACAGAAGACCTTAGCATAACATATAGCTGATACTTATGTTTTATTGATGGACCATCTTACCTGACACCATTACTAATTCTTAATTCCTAACAATTACAATGGGTAATTACAGACCTGCAGGAATGGATGAAAGTTAATCTTACATTACTTATTTTATGAAATATGCACTTGTTGGGGGGGTTATGTACAGGCATATTAACACTTTAAAAAATAATCCAGCTTACACTATCTAAGGGAGCTTTCATTCAAACCACCATTTATACAAAATTAAAGCTTTTCTGGTATTGGTCATAATTACCTAGTTCAGTCATTTTGCTAGTTTTTACTTATTTTCACTTTTCAAGGAACTCCTCAAGCAGAACAAAATTTGATGTACAAAGCAAACTTTTAGTTTTCAGGCTACTGGTCTGGGGGTTTCTGATGGTATTCTGAAACACCATAATAACTAGTTAGTCATATGAAATCATTTTCAATACAATACAATGGAAGCAGATTCAACTGAGGCATGAATCACGTCCTGTTAAATACAAAATGACATCTGAATGTATCAACTTAAGAATTCTCAAGGACAAGGGACAATATGCTTGAAGGAGTTTATGACCTCAAAATCTTGTATAAAATCTGTTGTTCTTTTTTCATAATTAAAATTCACAGTTTATTTGTTCAGTAAAGCCTAAGAGGTAGAGGACTGAATGTCTGAACAATCACGCTCTCATAAATTCCTTAAGAAACCCATTATTCGTTGAGATAGAATCCTCTGAACTGTGTTCCAGATCTCCAAGTAAGATATTTTTTATCAAGTTCAATACTATAATAGATGGCCTTTCAGAAGGCATCATAGGCCTGGCAGAGTTCATTCTAGAGCTGATAATCCTAAAACATATAAATGGGAACGGGGTGGGTAGTGAGGGTGGGAAGTGAGGGGTAGGAAAGGGACTTTCAAAGCAGAAATCACATATCAAAGTAATTATTTTAACTTCCCAAATAGCCTTTTGTATTATGTTGACTTTTAAGACAAAAAAATCATGTCTAAATGGTATGTTCTCAGGAGATTTTTGATGCATGATTAATTGAAAAAAACACTTTTCTTATAAATTGCTCTACAATTTCAAACCTTTAATTCTTTCAGAAACTTATAGTTTACTAGCAATGCTTTTATGTTACTGTGCATTTTCTGAGCTTTATTAATTCACAATTTAGGAAAACAAAATTCTTATTACTATGAAAGGATATGAAGGGCCCGTTTTCTTCCCTATGCATTTGATCTATACTCTTTGACAAGCAATATGAAATGATTACTGTTTTTGCATCTCTACTCCTGCTCCATTTTATCATACTCTCATGATTGAAAAGTATTAAGTATGATAATAATATAGTATAATCACATCACTTTTGGTAGAACTTCCTTCTTTAACTACTTACTAATTCAAACTGTTTAAGACGACAAGCTCCTACCTCTGAAGAAGGTCTTGTCTGGAGAAGTACTCTTGCTTTTAATTCTTTAAACCAAACTTCTTAGCATTGCTCTGTGGGTTGAAGAGTAGGGGGAAATGTTAACAAGACATTTGTCCTCAATCACAGCAGATTGTCAATACATTAACTCCACTGACTCCCTGATGGGAAACACAATTACAGGGGGAGCCCTGCAAGGAAAGACAAATTATGAATAGATTTGCCAAAACATATCTCTGCTGGTTTCAATCAAATGTGACAGCAGAGAGGTGACTAGAACACTGGTGGCCATCACAATCCCAAACAAAAGAGACAAGTCTGTCTTCTTTTCAGTTAAGGGGGATAGAAGAGTTTTTTGTAATGCACGCAACAGTGTGGCTGACATACTTCCATGCGCTGAAGTTATTAATATTATTACTTTATTCTCATTCTAATATTTTAGTAAGTAAAGGGGAAATTCTTCTGATCATGTGTGAAAGGCTTGACAAAGACTATGGACAGCTCAGAGCCTGATCGTCTCCAACTCGCCTCTGCTCAGCCTCAGTGTTTCCTTTGCAAATATTCCAGCTGAGAGTCAGCCAGAAAAAGAGGGTATAATGGGGAGTGAACAATCCAGAGTTGAGAACATTAGGTTTTTTAGACAACCAGTACAGTGATGCCACAGTTTTCTAAGGGGGGATTTCTGGCTTTTTGGACTTTGGATTTTTCGAAACAGAAGTCACACTATCAACCTCTGAAAAACCTTTCAGAGAAGAGAAACAATCATCAATTCAGAGAATCCCGGCTGCACTCAAATATTAAGACAACTATGAATCACAAAATCATTCCATTAGTAAAATGGTATGCAATCATCTCAGATGTTATCTTTATACATGCATTACAAAATATTTTCTGTACTAAACTTCAAAAAGCTTTTTATCTTAATTACATGTAAAATGACTCAATAGATTTTTTTATTAATCTGATGCAATGACATTTTATCAGGACAAAATGTTAATGTTGTATAGGTTAGTAATTTTTCCTTGGGATTGAAGCCAATTTTGAAGTTAAAATGTTTTCTTTCCTTGTCATTTGGTTCCTACTTTTGAAAAATTCTCTAGAGGTCTATGTAGGAAAGAGCAAGAATTTGAAATTATAGCTATAATAACTTAATTCAACTAATTTATATCAAACATTTAATATACATCTGTCAATACTGAATAAATGTAAGTAAGGAAAAAAAGAATAAAAATAAACAAGATGTGTTTCCTATCATAAGGCATCTCAGTCCATATGCCGATGGGAAAAAGTCAGAACTACCATCAACCACTATAAAACGGAGTATTTACAGAGTATTAGGAGAGCATAGAAGAAGGGATAATTGAATCTACAAGGCAGCATCAACAAAGACAATACTTGAGGTGAATGTTAACAGCAGGTAGGAAGGGCATTCTGAGTTGAGGGAAGGGCAGGAGCAAAGAAGGGGCAATGACAAAGCGAGTGGTGTGTCCCCACTAGGAAAGCAAAGCAGTGATAGGTACAGTGATGATGGCAGGCAAAGAGGAGAGGTTACAGGGGTCATCTGGAACCAAAGTGCAAATGTCCCTGAGCACGAATTAACTGTTGTGTCTAGACTTGAACTTGAGAACAATGTGGTTCTACTGAAATTTCTGGGCAAGCAGAAAGAACACTTAACAGTAGTGTGAGTTATTCAGTACGGGAAGACAGAGATTGGAAAGGGCACCACTTAGGGGTGTTTTAGTAACTAACACACAAGATTCTTGCTTCTAGGGGTATCCCCTGCCTCCCCCCAAAGCCCATATGCAGCAAGCACCCATTTGAGTGTCCCCAGGATGAATATAGATATGCAGCTGAACACTGATTTAGGGTTGAGAACACAGACTGAACCATGATACCAAATATTATTGCATGTTTTATTTTATTCATGGAATAATTTTGTAAATTTTTGTCATCCTAGTATGGGAGTGAATTTTTACAAGTAGAACTAGATAAAGCAGCAGGTGGAAGAGGCTTTTTTGTTCTCTTCTCCACCTAGCCCTCTACATCTTTCCGCCATTTCTCTGCCAAGGGAAGCTCTGTGCCCAGAAGCTTTGTGCTTCTGACGCTGCTCAGGACCTGAGGCAAATTTACTTAGCCTGGTGTTGTACTGACACCAGGGAAATGCCTTCCTCTGTTACTGGACAGATCCAGTAACAGCCTTGGGTCAGCTTTTCCCTTTGCATTGCAGTGTTAAGGTCTGCCTGTTTGGGGTTTAAGGAAACTGAACTCTGCCTAACAGAATACTTTGCTTCTAGGCCATTCAAACCAACCTCACTCACTTGGGCAAAGGATGAATACGTGCTTGCATGTATTTCCTTTGAGGACTTCAAAGGCAGAGCATAAGGTAAGCATTCTTGGATTCCCTGGTCAAACATACCACATTCCCTTACCTCTAAATAATCACAGTAAGGCAGACATACAACCCAAAAGGGGTAGCTGTTCCTTCATTGGTAAAGTATCTTCTAAAAGAAATTTCTGGAGCCTCTCTGGTGGCGCAAGGGGTTAAGACACAACCTATGAAGCTATCCACAGCCACTGCAACATGAGTTCGATCCGCCACCAGGGAGTCAACATACATGGTGCAGCAGACCTCTCCTGACTCGCCCACAGCTCCCCTCAGCAGTGTATTTCAGTTGATCTGCCTGTTCTGTTTCCCACTCCGCCTCTGGTGAATCCTCTTACCTCCACATCTCTGGCCTGTACCTCAGTTCTTGTATGCATAAATAAATCTTAAAAAAAAAAAGAAATTTCTGTGTGCAATAAAATCAACAGAAACCTTAAGAGTGCTTTAGTTTGCTCAAGTACTTTAGGAGAATTCAACCCCAACTATTTGGCATTCTTCATTGTGTCTGAAGCACCTGTAAGACATTGCTATGAAGCTATTGCTGAAAATGTACATCACAGATGACTGGAGGCTACAATTAAGTACTGGGGCATAAACCAACTAAGGACTCATCAAATAAGTTAAATGTTACTGTAATTTTTACCTAGAAGAGGTAAGATAATATTTTACTGGACTACTACTATGTCCCAGACCCTATATATAAAAATGTATTTTGGGTCTCCGGGTGGTGCAGGCGGTTGAGCGCAGTGCTGTGAAGCTGTCTGCAGCCTCTGCAGTGCCGGTTCAATCCCCACCGGCCTCGGAACAACCCACATGGTGAGCAGACCTCTCCTGTCTCGCCTGCTGCTCCCTTCAGCAGTGTGTTTCACTCAGTCTGCCTGTTCTGTTCCCCACTCTGTCTCTGGTGAATCCTCTCACCCTCCCGCACATCTGACCTATATCCCAGCTCTTGTATAAATAAAATAAATCTTTTTAAAAAATTAAATAAAAAAATAAAAATAAAAATGTATTTTACAGGTGACACACCAATTCCTTTGATACAAAGGCAGGTACAAAAAGAGAGGTTAAGTAAATGACCTTAGTCACAAAGCTAGCAAGTAATATATGTGGAATATAATCTGGTCTTAATCCCAAACTGGTACTTTTTTGAAATTACCCTATGGCTTTTCAGAGAGGACAAGGATAGACATGCAGTGGGATTGCTACTGAGATTTAAGAGGAGGACAACAGAAGATGATGTCAGAAAGAGTGGTCAGATCAGGAGGGAGGCATGCTGGAAATCACAGAAAAAGGGGTCAGGAAGGAGGAGGGGGGTCCACAGAGTCAAACCCGCATGTAGAATGCAAATGGAGAACTCAGCAGCTGTCAATAGGGAGGCCCTACAGTCCTGAGCTAAGACTAACCCACCTCCCCATGGACACAGTTCCCAGCTTTCAGTGACAGCTTCTGCACTATCTTTCTATGTCTCTTGCCATGTATGTTTTATTATTAATAATGTTTCACATAAGGAACAGCTATGAAATATAAGGTATAAAAAAGTAAGGTATGGTACAAAAAAACTATGGTATAAAAAGATATTTTTCAACATAAATTTTAAAGATGTGTGAAAGGACTTGATAAATTTGAAATATTTTCAGTATAATTCAATTTTAGGGAAAAATACTCTGAAAAGAGCACATACATAATTTTGGCTAGGTATGGGTTTTCACAGGCATTGTGTGGGAATATTATTTCATCCTTGCTTACATGTAATATTCATAGGGCACTGCCACATTTTTAACCTCTCTGTGATGATTTAAATCCTCAAGCCTTTGCAAGGACCACCAAAAGACTATGTATTAATTGTACTACCATGTTAGCAATTATGCCAAGCATTTCCAGGGAATGCAGTTTTGTTACATTCATTACTCTTGCTTTGACAACTGTGTCAATGGGCTTTCACCACCCTGAAACGACAGAATAGGGTAATACATCACTGCTAAGAATTATTTTTCCAATAACAAAGTAACAATTTATTTTTTTTTTACTAAACTACAATCAACTTATCCTATCAAATAAAACCAGTCCTGAGTCAAAAGGTCAAGGTAAGATCTGATATAATTTAAAAGTAGCCTTCAGAAAAGATGAATAACATCTAGGTGAAATATATAAGAAAGCCAAAGGCCACAGTACACACACACACAATAAATCAATAACAATAAAAGGAATTCAGTTGTGCAGAAGCATAACATTAAAAATTTTAATAATTAAAAAAAATGAACACTTGCCTTAATCACTGATGGAAAAACAATTTAATAATGAACTTCTTAATCACTATGAAATAAACTGTACTACTGATTGATATAAAAAATTGGGGGGGCCTCCCTGGTGGTACAAGGGGTTAAGTCTCAGCATTATGAAGCTATTGGCTGCCACTGCAACATGAGTTCGATACCTGGCCAGGGAGCTGACCCACGTGGTGCAGCAGACCTCTCCTGTCCTACCTGCTGTTCCCCTCAGCAGTGCATTTCAGTCAGTCTGCCTGTTCTGTTACCCACTCTGTCTCTAGTGAATCCTCTCACCCCCACACACCTCTGGCCTGTACCCCAGTTCTTGCATACATAAATAAATCCTTCATTATTTTTTATTTTTTACATCATTGTTCATTTTTAAACAGTATATGCTTCCTCCTACCCCTTCAGGTGTAGTCCC